TTTGTTTTTTTTTTTTTTGGTTGTATTGTTTTTTTTTTTTTTTCTAATTGTTTTATTTTTAAAAAAAAAAAAAAAAAAAAAAAAAAAAAACAGCAGCAGCACTTGTAAAGAATGCAAAAACTTTCATCCGTGAGGTAACTTTTAAAGCTAACGTTAAAAAGTATTTTTGTTCCTCCAGATGGGAAGCCTTACATCATTAAGATGAAAATCTATTTAATTAGTGTTAGTGTCTCTGATGTGTCTTTAGGCCAGGCGGGTTCGGAGCTCAGTCGTAGAAGTTTCATCAGTGTAGCAGCCTCAAATGAAGCCATTTAATGCGCCTGCTGCGAGTGGAAATAGTGGCTGTTCAGTGTACCTGTCTAACAGTGCTGACAATTAGTTTGTACTATACTCATGCCTTTGTATATTTAAATTATTGTACTTATTTTGTAAAGTGATAAAAAGCATGCTTCAGTCTCTGTTAGTGACAGTGCATTGAGTAGTACTGTACAAGTGTTGTGCTTAATAGCAAGCCATTTAAAAAAAAATATGGCCTTTATTAGGTTTCCCTTCACAGGGAGAAAGATGAAACTATATTTTATTAAATCTAATAATGTAAAAAAAAAAAAGTAAACTTTAGTCTTCTGTTTTTCTGTTTGGTTTGGGAGGTTTTATTGCGATGTATGTATAATTCTGAAGCCTTTTGTAACAGATCTCCTCAAGGCAGCTTTCTGTTTAATAAAACAGACTGATTTCTGTCAGAAAATAACAAAGCATATCTCAGTGTTTGTACCCTGAAAAAGAAAAAAAAAATTCTAAAACATTTCAAAGTGTCCCGAAGTGTGGCAGAATTTAAAAATAACTAAATGATTATAATGATGAAATAACAATAAAGATGATATAAATTTAGTCCAAAGTTGATATTTTACATAATGCCTTTAAAGCTACGTTTTCATTCCATGTGTAGATTTGTTTTCTATCTTTATAAAATGTTGGATTTATATTTTACCGAATTGTAGAAGAATAGAGCCTGTGAATAGACCAAACTAAGCTAATGGATTGCATGTAAAACGCAACTTGTACTTGTGTTTTTGTTAATATTGCCCTTTTGTAGCCTTTGTACCTGTACAGAGTTGCTGGTAAGAACGGAGGGAAATATCTGGCTATGTGCACTCAAATCGAACAGAATGACATTCTTGTATTTATGACTTTTCTCCTTTTGTCAGTCACTTAAAATGCTGTACATTTTAGCATAAGAATAAATTATGATTGACCATGTACTTGATTGTTCTCCTTTTATGTGAAACACAACTTGGATTTCTCTTTAAAAAAAAAAGTGAAGGCGTTATCCAAACCAGGACAATGAAACCAAAACCTGTGAAGTGTCTTTTCAAGGCCACACAGTGAATATCTGAATTGGTATTAAGAAGGCTTGTTTGTCCAAATGTTTTTCTTATTTATATTCAAGGATGTGAAAAACATACATTTACTTTTTTTTTTTTTTTTTTAAATCCTTGCACAATTATCAAGTTTAGTTGACTTGATTTGACTCTTAAATTTATAAGCCTCCTCTTCCCGCCAGGAGCTGTTGGTCTAGTTCCCTCAGCTGCTTCAGGAAGCCCCAGTTAGGGATGATCCGTCGGTGGCTCTTTACGTGCTCGATGGCGTCCACAATCGTCATGTTCTCGTAGATCATCAGGTAGGCGAGAAAGAGGGTGGCAGACCGACTCCTTCCCATCACACAATGAACCAGCAGTTTATCTGGAGATAAATCATGAGAGGCTTTTGATTTTCTTCAGAAGTGGTAGAGGAATAATTAAATAACAGCAAGTGTGCACAACCAGCAGAATTTATGTTTAAGAAAATGAGGGATGATGTAAACACAATCAACCAAAAATGTCAATAGATTTTATGTAATGGAGCAACACCAAGAAGCTCATAATTGTAAAATGAAAGGGAAAATTTTATTAGCATAAATTTGGGATTGTCAATCTTAAAGTCTTGGACAGATTCTCGGTTACATTTCTATCATGGATTTATTTTTATCTGTAGCTTACCGCTGTAGGTTTTGTCCTGCTGGAACTTAAACCTCCACCCCAGTTTTAGTGAACAATTTTGAACACCTTCCTCTACAGTTAGGAGCTACTTTGTGCTGGTCTGTAACTTAAAACCAAATTAAAATCTGGGGTTTTTGTACCATGAAAAACCAGAAAAAAAACAAAAAAACTTAGAGGTAGTGCAACACAATGAAGTCAGCATGATGGAGACGGTAACCTTTCTGTGAAACTGGTCAAATTTGTCTTACTCTGAGGATTTCTCAGTGTTTCCCGAATGAACTCGGCAGCAGAGAAGAAATGCTGGCTGAGGTCAAATGTTGGGATGTCTTCTGCAACCACACCGTAATAAACAACGTCCATGTCTTTGTAGTAGCCAGGTCCAGTGTCCACATTGTTCCATGTTCCTTCTGCTGCATTCAGTATGTGAGTAACTCCCAGCCTCTTCAGGGTACACTTATCCAGAGCAGTCTCCCTGCAGGAAGTCAATAAAAAGTACTGTTCATACTTGATAACTGTGTGGAAATTAAAAAATCCTTTCTGACAACATGTAGGTTGGTTAAAAAATCTTAAAACGCAGTATGTGATAATCTTAATAAAGTCAAAAAGAGACAAGAACCAAGGCCTGACATTTGTAAGCTGGGAAAATGTTACAAAGTCATTTTAAGGACAGAGAGAGACTTTATGCAGAAATGGAGAAAGTATAAAACAACGGTGAATCTCAGGTGTCCCTGAACAAGAGAATCCAGGTAATCATCTAAAGTAAAAAAATAAAATGCTGCTGTGGTTTTCTGTCGTCTAACAGAACAAATTTGTAACTTTTTGGAAAGCATGGGTCTCATTAGATCTGTTTAAAGCCTAAAACAGCATTTCAGGAAAAAAAAAACATCCTCACAGTCAAACACGGTGGTGGCAGTGTGATAATAGAGCTGCTCTTCTGAACATGAACAGTTTCTGTAGTTCAATTCTGCTCTCTAGGCAAATGTCTTCCCATTAGCTTTTGATATCTTTTCATGAACTCAAAGTGAAGCCTAGTCAAAGTCTGGACTTAGATTCCATTAATACATGTGGTGTCTTAACCTGTCAGTAAAAAGTACTGAATTCAAACGATGTGCCTAAATTCCTCTCCAGCAATTTAAAAGACTTGTTGCCAATTAACCGTCTAGGCATTGTGTTTAGGGGGCGATTACTTTTTTCTACGGGGTCACGAGGGTTTAAAATGTGTATTTTTCATTGCATCTTGTATTTGCTCAGGTTATGTTTGACATTTGAATTTGTTTGATGATCTGATAATTTAAGTGCGAGAAAAAAGAGAGAACAGGAAATCAAGAAAGGCAACCAATTTTTCACACAGTCTATTTTTAGACTGTCTAGTGGGTTTTTTTCTCTCTCTTTTTTTTTTTACTCACTCATCTCCAATGTAGACGTTAGGCCAGACCTCGTTGACATGAGTGTAAGCCACGCTCCCACGGTTGAGGATTTTATCCAGCTCGTAGCTCCCAGGTGTGACATAATCGTCCGCCGTGCTGGACTCCTCTGCTACTTTTGCAGCGTTTATCTTTGATCCGGCTTTTGACTCGTGAGAAGCCATTTCTTTTTCCTCACCGTGGCTTCCTTCCATACATGGTCCCTTTGCCTGAAGTGGTGAAAAAGCACACTTTTTGTTTTTTATCTTCCGCGTGCATCTCCAGCTCAACTCACCGAGACATGGAGGACCTTTGTTTTCATCCCTCTGCCAGATTGTTGTGAAGCACCGCTCGAAGGCAGAACATAGGAAGGGTTAGTTCTGGGCGCAGATTGTGTAACCGTCTCTGTGACAGGGCATCAAATGCAGAGGATATTTTTAGGGCTGTGATGTGGCAGGGCCCCCCTGACCTTAGCTGCCATGTGTTCCTGCCTGTGGGGAAAAGCTTCCACCCAGCCAGTCCCTGCCATCCACATCTAAGCACGCGACTTTAATCTCCGCTGCTGGCGGCAAGCTGCGCTTATCCAAACTCTGAGCGTGCCAGAGGATACCCACATGCAATGGAGTGAACAGGGCACTCCGAGGCTTTGCTCCTCGAAATCGCGTCAGTCTCTCTTAGCCTTTCCGCGTGTTTTCAGATGCAGGGAGAAAGCGTGTAAGTGCAGCCTTACAACACCCGTTAAGGATGTTCTGCATCTCCCGCAGCCTCTCGGGGGGGGGGGGGGCGTGGGGGGG